ACATGGTTTTTAAGCACGTCCACTTTTAAACTAGTAACCAGGAACCCAATAGAGCAGGCAAATAAAAAAGACTGAACTATGATTGAGAATGTCCAGAACGTACCCCGTTTTCCTCTTCGCTTCTCTCCATCATGGGGGCTGGTTTCATCATCCTTGGCCGTACCCTTCTCTGCAGGTTGCGAATTTTCTTCATCAGGTTGCTGTGGTGGTGAAGACCGTCCCCCTTGGACATCGTCCCCTGGAGAAGAGATTGCTCCCTGATCTTCAACCTGGATCACAGCATCATTTGTTTCATTCTTCCTTGCCATGCCTTTCCCTGGCTTCACTTTTTCTTGCGAATCTCCAGGGTAAAGATGAAGGAATATAATTTTCAGCTGTGTTTTAAAAATGGAGTGGGAAATCCGACATCTATATATAAATTCCACCTAGAAGATCTTACTCAACAAAGGGCCTTGAATATTATTTAATTATTTAATATTGTAAAGTAAAGGTCTATAATAGACCTGAATCATGTGAGAATCCTACTCTAATTCAAAACCGAGAATCAAGTGTCGCTTTAATGATTGTGCCACCTTTGGATCACCTTTTTAGGATTCTTTTTTTATATTTTTTAAGTAAACAATTAATATGTATTTCACATGTGATGAGCAGTTGTCACTTATTGTCTCAAAAGACAACTTGTGATTTGTATTCTTAAACTTCATATTCAATATTTTTTATTAATATTTTTAACATATTGACCTCTAATATTGCCCTTTAAAAAAAAAAAAAAAAAGGTAAACAATTAATATGGTGGCAGCTCATGGGTCTTGTAATTTGTCCTATCAATGATTATGTTCCAAAGAACAGACTGGCAATGAGATAGAAAGCCACTAAACGCATCAATAATTAAAGGATAATTATACATACACTTAAACAATCAATACTCATCTTAACATCCAAAGTTAAAATGAAGAGGGATAAATTTATAATTTTATTATTCATAAACCTTAAATATTGAGGTAAGTGTTAATTGTTTGGATGTATATATAATTATCCATAATTAAAATCATATATTTTAACACATTATCTAATTTTTTTAGGTATAATTATTTTTGAATAATATTGATACATCTCCTTACATACTTACTACTTAATCTAAGACAGCATGCATCTAACATCCTAATTGCTAGATCTCTCATTTGGATTATCCAAAGTGTAGAAGAAAGCAATTTTCAAAATCAAAAGCATTTGCTCTTCATACCCGTTTTTGATTAATTTTGGATCAATTGCTTGACTGGGATTTATTTTCCCAAAAGGGGTGACAAAACTTATTATCATTCGTTGCAATTACATATTGCTTCATATTGGGAATCGAACCCACGACCACAGAAAAATAGTAGCAACAATTCAGATTCATTATTTGTAGATAAGGATAAGGATTAAACAACCACGTGATGCAAATATAAAATATTCATATTCACCAAAAATTATATATAAAATATTCACAATGGACAAAAGAGCTTGACAGCTGTCCCATGATATTCGAAATTCAATATTTAAATATTTTGGTTAATTATCGGGTAGTGAATGGGGTCGGCATTGTTTGAATGTGGCAATCATTCCACTCCGACTGCTAAATTCCCGATCAAACCAGTATAAAAATTTAAAGGACTTTCTAATATCGAAAAAAGGTGTTTTCGGTAGCCTATATTATTTTTTATTATATAATTTTAATTATTAAATAGAGATAAAAACTTTTTATTAATAAATTTTTTTTATGATATAATTTATATTGTAAAATATAATTTTTTTTAATATTTATGTTTATAATGTGTTTATTATATTTTTATTATTAATTTATTTAAAAAATAAAAATTAATTTTAAATTTATTAATTGTTAAATTAAAATGATTTAAGTAACATTACAATTAAAAATAAAATTTATTTTTATAATTTTTATATAAATTAGTAATAAAAATATGTGAACAAAGATGAACTAGTTGTTGATGTTAAACCAAAAAATGACAAGGGATGGCGCATTCGTTGGTGCAGACTACTTTTTGGAAGGGAACTTGATGAATTTGCGGTGCTAGATGGTATCCTTCAAACTGTTGAACTTTTTGATGGCAAGCCTGACAATTTCAAATGGACCCTTTGCCCATCTGGGTACTCTTCTAAGTTGGCTTGCGCTTTTCTTGACAACTCCCCTCCTTGTCTTGAAAAGTGCTATTGTGAATTAATTTGGAGTAGGTTCATGCCTTCCAAAATTAGCATTTTTGTTTGGCGCCTTCTCCTTAATCGCCTTCCTACTAAGGACAATCTTCTTCTTCGAGGAGTAAGCTTAGCACCAAATAATGCTTGTGTTCTTTGCGAACTTCGCTTGGAGAATGTTAATCATGTGTTTGCTAAGTGTTTGGCGGTCTCAAAACCTCTGGAGTAGAATCTGTCACCGGTGGGGGCTCTTTTTTGTCCCTCCAGACAATGCAACAGACATATTACTTCAACTTACCTCTCTTCATGTCCCCAAGAAAGCAAGAAAATGTTGGATTTTGACAATTTTAACAACAGCATGATCCATTTGGCTCTTCAGGAATGGCAGTATCTTTGGTAAGCTTTCTTGGGATGAGAATAATTTGGTAGATTTAGTCCAATCAATAACTTTCAGCTGGATTAAAGGGAATTCTTTCTCTGCTATGTTTTGCTTTGGTGATTGGTGCCAATTTCCAACTCCTTGTGCAGAGGAATTTTAATTTCCATACTTTCTCCTTTCTTGTAGTATATGGGTTTCTCCTTTTTTGTAGTATATGGGTGAGTACCTTTGTACTCTTTTTAATATAAATTTTTGATTCATCAAAAAAAAAAAAAGTAATAAAAATATGTAATAAATATATACACATAATCCATTATTAAAAAAATCCAAAGTTAAAATAATCCATGGCATCACTCATATTCAATTAATAAAACTTTGTATTAAAGATAGGTCTTTCTTAATAAATATATTATTTTATAATTAATTTATATAAAAAAAACATAAAATTTACTTTTATTTTAAGGAATTTTTTAATTTATATGCTATGGGCACAAATTAAAAATGTATTTATTACACTTTTTTATTATTAATTTGTATAAAAAATAAAAGTTAATTTTAGTTTTGTCAACCTTTCAATTAAAATATTTTATGTAACATTAGTATTGAAAATAAAACTTATTTTTATAATTTTGTATAAAAATTAATTGTGAAAATGTACAATAAATGCATTTATAATTAAGGTACCAGTTCAAAAACCCTTGTTCTAAAATTATTAACATGTGAATAATTTTAATTAATTAATTGATAATACTAAAATCAATATTTATATTTTTTGTGTAAATTAATTATAAAATAATACACTTATTATACTATTAGAAAAACTGTTAAGAAATAACAGTAACAGTTTGGAACCCCTTGTTGCAATCATACTATTTTTTTGCTTCAGAATTTCATTAACAAAAAAAGAGCGAGGAAGAGTTTGGTTAAAAGGAGATTTTTTCTTAAAACAGGTTATAAAGAGACAAAAAAAAAAAAAAAAAGGTTATAAAGAGATTTGAATGTTTAATCTAACTCTAGAATAAACTATTTAAGATTGGGACATTGTTAAGATGTGAACATAATTATATTTAGAATTATTGTAAATATTTTATACTTTAAAATATTCTCTTTGTAGACTTTATACCTTAGAATATTCTTTTTGTGAACACCTATATATAGGTTATTGTACATACAGTATAATTCAAGAAAGCAATAAACATTTCTTCAGATATTTCTCCTTCTTTTCAGTTTCTAACATGGTATTAGAGCTATAAGCTCTTGATTCTTTTCTCTTATCATCGCTGTTGGGTTTTTTGGAGTTGGATTTTCAATTCCATTCCAGATCTGAAACTTTGTCATTGGGATCTCTTCTCATACAGATTGGATTGTTTATCCTCGATTCTCAGACCCTTTCTGAGGTACTTTGTTGGTTTGTTATTTCGATCTTGGCATCTATTTCTTCATATTTTTAGAGTTTTTCAGTATTGTGAGTTTACTGATTCTATGACGAGTTTTGAAAGGATTGTAACTCATCCTGCTACTGCTACGGTTGCCAAAGAAGTGATAGAACAACCTAATGTCAACCTTGAATCCCTAAAACATGTGATATTAAATCTTTTTAATGCTCCTACTGCCTTATCTACTGCTCCGGGTACCAAACCTTGGTATTTCGATTCTGATTGTTGTAACCATATGTCTTCAATTACTGCTCATTTCTCTTCAATGTCATCTAATAATTCCTTTCATGATATTTATTCTGCTAATGGTTCCCCTATGAATGTTAGTCACATTGGTAATGTTTCTACAAAGTCATTGACTTTACCAAATGCCCTTTTAGTTCCAAAACTTAGTTATAATCTTCTATCTGTCGGTCAATTATGCGATATTGGTCTTGAAGTAACATTTTCTGCTCATGGTTGTCGTGTGCAGGACCCACGGACAGGACAACTTCTTGGAACTGGTCGCAAGGTGGGGCGTTTGTTTGAGCTCAACTATCTGCATATTCTTGATAATAAAATGGATACAACATCATTTCCAAATGATCGATTCATCCAAACCCTACTTTGTGCTATTGAATTAGAGTGTTTGCAAATTCCATATCAACAAATCTTCCAAGTCTGTGCTGCTACTAACATTTCTCCTCTCCATTTGTGGCACTCACGACTCGGACATAGTGAACATAATTATATTTAGAATTATTGTAAATATTTTATACTTTAAAATATTCTCTTTGCATATTTTATACCTTAGAATATTTTTTTTGTAAACACCTATATATAGGTCATTGTACATGCAGTATAATTCAAGAAAGCAATAAACATTTCTTCAGATATTTCTCATTCTTTTCAGTTTCTAACAGACATTATATTACATGTATGCATGCACTGTCTTCTTAATCACCAAAAAAGAGGAAAAGCATTTGTCTGATGAGCAAGTGAAATTAATATGTTAATTCTATGATTGCACGATTTGCATGTGATTGAACAGCCATTCATGGATAAGGCCATTTTACTTTGAAGCCTAACATCATTTTTCTATTTCTAAACAACTTAATTTTATATTGCTAACCAATTACAATAGACCAAGTTGCAAGGGATTTAAATTTAATATGTTATGTTAATTATTAGCATTACTTTTACAGTTTACTGAAAAATTAGCAGAAAAGGTGTGAACAAGGGTATGAACTTTGTTATTTTTTTATTTGACGATATAAATTTTGTTGGTTTTTAATATAATATAATAAATTTTTAATTTTTTTATTTAAAAATATCAACTTTACATTTTTTATTTAAAAATTAATTGAATAGTTAAATAAGTCATTTGGCAAATCAGCATCACCATCTAATAA